GAAGTGTTGAGATGATTGTGTGACGTATTTTAGAATTGATTCTATATGGTTTGTAGCATCATGATAGCATCAATTGCGCATGTCATCTAAATGAATGTGAGATGATAGACAGACGGATCCTTATCACTGAGCTATTGTTCATTCATGGATAGCAGAAAGGACGAATTTGTGAATAGTGAATGATCAAACGAAGATCATGAGTATCGATTGGTGGTGGTTGCATGTGAAGAATTAGACAACTGATTACAAGCATTAATAAGAATATGAATGCGAGTATCACATTTTGTCATTAGAACAACGTATTGGAATGAACGTGAACATCTTTGCGTTGCAGTTCTTTCTTCGTTTGTTGTTGTTGTTGTTTTTTTGCGATTTGTTTTCATTGGAATTTGATTCAGTTCAAGCAGAAACTTCAAGCTGACGCAAACGCTCGGTAAGAATGATTTTTTAAAATAGTTTCAGTTTGTTCGTTCATTTTTGAATTTTCAAATTTTTGTTATCTATCCACTCATCCATCCACGTAATCGTCTCGTCTAATTATTATGTGTTTTAGTTTATGTCATTTCCTGTGAAAGGCAAAATTTTTTTCTGAATGAATATTCATTCATTTAATCGATTATTTGTTTGTTTGCTTCATTTGCTTTGAATTCGATAGCGATTATTCAGTTTTCATCGTCCTCACATCAGTCTGATACTGTTGAAGTATGTTTTGGATTTAATTTCAGTTTTAAGCGCGATTACAATCCGTTAAAAGATTCTTCATGCGTTTCCTAAAGCGCTTAAAGCATCGTTAATTCTTCCGACATCTCATCGCATTCTTCAGTTTGTTTGCTTGCAAGATTACGGATTTGAGAACACTAAAATGTAGAGGCATATACATGGTTTGCGCTCATTTATGTAAGATTTAGGCGTTATATCGAGGCCGATAATTGATCGAAATGAAGTAGGCTTGTTGTTGTTGAATATTTAATTATGGCAATATACCGGCTTCATGTCATTATTATAGAATGCATCTGCTTAATTTCACTGCAGTTCGATTTGCGCACAATTTTATTAACGTCGTTGCCATCACGGTTTGTCTTAGGCAATATAGATTATTATCATCCGTATACAATGTTATTTTTGTTAGTTGTTAGGGTTGTTATCGTTGGCGCTGTAAGTGTTATCATTATTATGAATGCTGTTGCATTGTTATTATCATTACTACTTGAGATTAGCATCAAATGATATCGATCTTATGATCGACAAGAGTTATTCTTGAACTGAAGCAGGTGTCTTCGTGTGCATGAAAGAATCATTTCGTATCGATTTGTAAGTAACCTTTTATAAAGTGCTCTCTCTCCATCATACTGGATGAACTATTGAAGTTTCCATCAATTGGAAAGCATGCAGGTAAAAAAGACTTTTGGTTTCATTAGTACTACTGAATTTTTCAGTCTTCATTTGACATCCTCATTGCGTTTTCTCTTTACTATCCATCAGAATCACAATGAAAACTTTCTGATCTTAAATTATTTCCGAATAGATCATCATCGCATGTTTCAATTTTTGATGTTATCATTGTGTAAACTTAAAATGTCACATGCGATCACATTCGTTTGAGTCTTAGTTTTATTCCGAAATCTGTGCTGAGATGGATGAACACAGCTGGCAAATGTATTTTCTAACGGTAATTATTGTTTGGTGCTCATACGAGCCCATTTAATCCAGACTTTTCCGTGCTTATGAGTAATCCACAATAATTGAACATTCAGATCGATAGTGTTCATTCAATACCAATTGTAAAACAACTGAATGTCGGTCTAATGAGGCATTTGAGTGTATTTGAGTCGTAGTAAGAGCACAGTCCAACCAACGTGTTTTCGCATAAATTTTTACAGATTTTCCCCTGGCACTGTGAAACTTTTTTGAAAGTTCTTCCGAATGAAGTAATTTTTTCAACTGAGTAAATTTGGGTTTCTATTGTTTAGTATCATATAATGGAATNTGAAAGGAAATATTTTTAGACGGCGACTCAGCTAGATTGCAGAAAAATTTGAGTGTTGGTTGAGGCCTAATGTGTTAATTGTGGCTTGTAAGCGTTGAAAAAATCATTCAGAGAAATTGAGAACGTTGTGAAAGTGCTGCATGCACGAATAGTGTTGTGTTATAATACATTACGAATCGTTGATCGAATAGGTGGGTGGAGGAATTTCAATAGGATGCATAAAATATCTTTGAAGGGAGGAAGTGTGTGGGTATTTTATTGCCAGAACGATAAGTGTTTTACTCGAATATCGAGCGTTTGATTGAGATTTTATGGCTCATTCAGATACATTTCACCGAGAATTGCTTCGTTTCGTTTCGTGTTTATCGCGAGAAGCAAAGTTTCGGTTTGTCGGCCGGAAAAAAACCTCCTAAAATGATGGTATTTTTGTGGGTTTCATTATGCATTTATTTATTCATTCTGAACTGCAATCACATCGCATCGCATACGTACGTACGTACACACAAACACAAATCAACACATACAATAATGTGACATCTGTTTGCAGTTAGAAATTTCTTTTCAGCAATAAAAATCTTCTGTGTATA